CCTAGCTGTGTGACTCACTTTTCTCTCTGTTCCAATCCCAGTTCAGCAGGGGCAGGATAAAGAATTAGGGGAAGCTTGCCTGCTGGCTCTTCGAGATGACCAGGGCACAAGTCCAAGAAGCCAGCTGCTTGGGTGGAGCCCCATCCCCAGGGTCATCAGGAATATTCACACCTCCAGCCAGGGAGTCTCTCTCCCTGTATATCAGCTCAACCAACCACGCCGGACTGGCCCCCTCTAACGAGTACCCTCTAATGAGTAATGAGGAGGAGGGGCTGGGCCTGGGCCAGCAGAGGAGGGAGAAACTGGGTCCCACATCTGAGGGGGTGGTGGGCTGTGACCTAGGAAAATTCCCAGCCCTGTCCCCAGGAACCCAGGCTTTAATGGGTACAGTCCCATCTAAAGTGAGCCCCACGCTGATGGAAAAAGATCCAAAGCCGCTTTCAGAAGATACCCCTGTATGAGGGGACACACAGCCAGTCTTGCCCACAGGAGGTCATCATCCAGGAAGTGTGACATAGTGACATAACCTGCCCACTGGTGCCCCCAAGCAAGGGAAGAGAGAGCCCTACTTTCAGGGATGCCCAATCTGCTGGGAAACAGGAAATCTACCTCCTGAAGCTACCTCCACCTGTCGGGGAAACGCAGCCACCCCTGCCCTGAGCCCCCAGTCTGAAGGAGAAGACCAAGGCTAGCTCTGAAGAGGCCCATTGTCTGACCAAGCCAAAGGGCAATAATTCTGTCCAAAGCCTAGGCCTATACCCGGAGCTCCAACATCGGGTGTTCTGAGCTGAAAGATACTCCTTATCTCCACCTCCACCCCCTGCCCCGTGCCCCCCTCTCCCCACCCCAACAAACACACACCTGACTAGGCTTAGCAGGAAGCAAAGGTATTAGGCCACAGAGAAAAGCAAACCGGGCCATGGCATAGGTGGACATTCTCAAATACCAGCTCCAAGAATCCACTGGGCTGGGAGTTGGCTGTCGCCTCTAGTCTTCAGCTTGAGCCCTCCACTGAGCCTCTCTCAGCCTCAGGCTCCTGGGGCGGTAACAGCAACAAACACCTCCTCTCTACCTTATACCTAGTGTGATGCCTGGTGCATAATAGGAACTCAGTCAATGAAAAGCGCTTTATTCACCCAAGCCCCTGCCTTGCGTCCCAGAATTGGGGGATCAAATCCTTTCTCCACATCAGTTGGAGAATTTGTTAAAGATGAAGGTTTAAAAAAGGCAATTTCTCATATTGTACTTTGAGAGAGTCTGATCCAGCAGCGCTGGTGGTGGGGCCACCAGTTAAATGAATTTTTAACAAGCACCAAGGCAGGGGGCTCATAGAGCAGAGCAGGCTTGGAGGGACCCGAGGGGAAGCCAGGGACTGGGGAAGGAGAGTTCAGTTACCTAAGGGCTCTTTCTAGCTATGCTTACTTAGCCCCCCTCCCCGCGTTAAATTAGGGCTGCCCGCTGAGCCACAAGGTGTGGGGTGAGGATAGGGTGTCTCTGGCAGAACCCCGAGCACCACCCACCCCCTACCTCATGGAGGACTGGCTCTCCCTGCCTCATGGTCTGGCACTGGCTGAGTTAACCTGGGAGGTTGTTAAAGTTCCAACTGTTTCCCCACTACACACCCCCGACCCTGAACCCTGGATCTGAATCTTCAGGAACAGCAGAGAATGTCCTTTCAATGTTTCCCAGGTGTCATCAATACTCTGCTCTTTCACCCAATTCTTGGAACTGGGGCCACCACGCTGGGAGAGGGGAACAGGGAGAAGTACTCACTGTGCACCCAGCTGGTTTTCTGATCTCCTTTACACACAGGGCAAAAAAGCGAAGAGATGAGGAAGCTGAGGCTCAGAGAAGGTTCAAGACCTCAAACGCAGGCCCGTTGCCTCCATTCGCAAGGTTTATCCGCTTCAGAATCAATAGAATCTCACTAGAATTCACAGAACAGGTATCTTTATCCTCTGTCTACCACAGATGAGGAAGCTAGAGTCCAGAGAGGGGAAATGACTCGCCAGTATTGCAAGGAAAGAGAGTGGCAGAGCAGATTCTCAGTAAGGCCGTTCTGCACTCATTCCACAATACGTGGGATGTCCCCACTGGTGAGAAGTGCTTGATAACCTCCAGCAAGGGGGCAGATGAACCAGATATGTTAGGATGACTATGGGGGGTGGCGGATAGGGAGAGGAAATGGACAGAGGTAAATCCTGCTTCGCTGAGGTCCCACCCTCACTGGCACGCCCAGACTCATCTGCAGCCTCCCACGCACTTACTCCCACTTCCACTGGGGCTTCTAGGAAACAAGAGAAGCCAGAAGGTGAAGCCCCAGGCAGCTGCTGAGAGACCACAGCCAGGAGGGCGGGAGGTTGAGGGTGGAGAGGTTCAAGTGACTGGATTGCCAACAGCCATGACCGATGCTTTAGGTGGTTAATTCGCACTTTACACACAAGGAAGCAGAGGCTCAAGCATTCAAGTCTCCGGGCCAAATGCCAGGGTTCTAACCCTACCTGTCTGGCTCCTCCCACTTCACCTCCGCCTGCAGGAGTCCCACAGGAAGCAGCTGGGTGCCCAGGTGGACGAGGCGGGTTGATGTGCTGGCTATCTGCTCCATTATTCGCAAAAAAAACCACAGGAAGCGGAGTGCAGTGGCTCAACCAGCCCTTCAGTCTCTGGGCCCTGGCACTCCTCCAGCAAGCCTTTCCTGCCCGAAGAGCCCCTTAACCTATTCACATAGAAAGGAGCCAGAGAAGCTCCCACAGTGACAGTCCCACCCCAGAGGCATCTTGGCTAAGGCTCCCTCAATTCCAAGCCCAATGTGCACCTTTCTCCCTGGCTCAGTCTTCGCTGAAAATTTTGCTCTGAGCAGGATTGAAAATGGGCTGCTAATTTGAGTGGCTCTGCGGCTAAAATGTGCCAGAAAAGGAAATGGGAAGGCTTTGATTCTTCTGGGAAAATAGGATGTCATGCTGACACCCAAATTCCTGAACGTGACCTACTGATCTGCCTGGTCTCCTCTCAACCTGCTCCAGTTAAGACCAAGGACTTTCGGTTCCATGAATGGGCTGTGCCCTTACCTCTGAGTCTTTGCACATGCTGTTCCCTCTGACTGAAACATCTTTCCCTCAAGTCCTACCCTACCTGTGCCAGACACTCAAGTCTTCCCCAACAGTCAATCTCCCTGTCTTTCCTTGCCAAATAATCTTTTGTGGAAACAGTAGATGCTCAGCCACAGGGACAAGTCCGGCTCTGTGACCATTCTCCTTTGCAGTTTTCCCAAATTTACAGTTAGACATGACCATGTGACCATTTCTGGTCAGTGACATCTTTGGGGGAAAATCTGGCCTCCCAGATGAATTCTTTCCCTTTGGCAAATTGGCATGATGTGTGGCACTGCCAATGGAACTAAGCAACAGCGTGATGACCAGCCCTCCAGGGGGACGGAGGGGAGGCACAGGAAGAGCCTGCTTCCCTGGTGGTGCTGTTGAGCCTGTGAAAAATACCTGAAAGTACTTGCCACCAGACTTCTCCTGAAAGCAAATGTTCCCCTGTTTATGCTAGATATTCCTTGCAGCTGAACAACATTCGTAACTGAGGCACCAGCCCCTGGGTTCCAACTTTAAAAAGGTCACTTCTTCCAAGAAATGCTCCCGTCAGCAGTGGGCATGTTGTGCCTTTCATGATCTCTTTCTTGTTCGTGCACTGTGTACCCAGCAGGCTGTGAGGACGGCTGCAGGGGCCCCATGGTATCCACCACTTCACTCCTGAACCAGCAAGCCCGTCGGAGGAGTAAGCACACCCATAGCTGACTGCTGGCACGGCCTCCTTGAGGGGGAAGCCTGGGCCCAGCCCTCATGAGCTTGCAGGTAGTAGAACCATGCAAGCCACAAAACCTCTAAGGAAGAGGTGGTGCGTACACGTTTGCTGGAGTGAGGTGGGCACCACCTTGTCTGACCAGAAGAGATAGATGCTGCTTCTGACGTAAGACAGTCTGAGTTACTTCATGACGTGTATCACCCGACAAGACGGTTCCCTCTGCCTTGGTCCAGTTTTAACCACCCCCGCCCACCCTCACGCTCTCATTCATCAGGAGTTGGGATGCACTCAGCTGCACTCAGAAGGACCGTAAGACACCCAAGCTTCTGTCCCCTCCCATAGGGAAAGAAATCAAAGTTGCAGTATCTCTTGATACTACATGACATTGTGCCTTGTGATCATGCCTTTTTACTCATCTACAAAACATTGCAAAAAGTCTAATTTCAAGTCCCCCAGTTTCTCATATCTTCACATTTTAGGTGTCATCTCTATTTCTCACCATATGTCCCTCCCAAGGGCTGATCCTGTCTCTCAGAACCAGGAGGATGTTTGAGTATAAACGATAAGCTGTGTACTTTCACACATTATTTCATTTAACTCTCAATCAGTATCTTCATCAAACACAGAAAGAATACTGGCGACACTCACTGAGCACTATGGAGCTCCCTTATACATGCCATGGCTGCTCCTCCCTAAAATCTGCCACAGAAACCTATATTCCCATTTTGTAGATTAAAAAAACTAAGGTTTAGCAAATAAGTGGCAACTCCAAAGGATTTCAGGATCCTTTCTATGTGGGCCAAGCCAGGCAAGGGACCCACCTTGGAATAATACCTGAAGAAGACTACATCCATGGTTAGGGTATAAAAATTTATTACACGTACAGAGTATTATCACTAATGAATGCACACAGGCTAGGACACCATGGCGCTGGATGGAAGACAGCTAGCTCTTTGGAAAGAGAACGGGTATGGGTGGCTCGGAGCTTCATGCCACACGGACTGGGCAGTCAGACGGGAGAGCACATGCCGAACACCACGGGACGCCAGGACATCGAGCGACCGCTCTGTGTGCCCACTGCCTTCCCTGTCCGATCTGGGGCTCGGAAGGCTGCCACATCCAGAAGCAAAACGATGAAGCAAAGGGGCTTCCCAAGGTGGCTCAGGCTTGTCTCTGAAGTCACAGCAACACCATTTTAAGCAATGTGTTTAATTGGATGATTTCCACAAACTATACATGAAGTCTCTAACCATGACAATTCAGTGAAGTACAAAACATTAAGTTACAGGCGGAGGGCAGAGAAGGCAGCACCGAAGGTGGCACCTTCCAATCTTGGTTGGCCTAGGGGTGGGGGGGAGGTTTCTTTTTAAACCAAGCCCCTTATTTCAATGTACAAAAGAATTACTCTGATCGATATTAAATTGTATTGAAAACAAAATGGACTAAAAAGCAAATACTATTCTATGTTGGGGTGGAAATGGGAGGAAAGAACGAGTCCTTCAAAGCAGGAGGGGAGACAGGCGGGGGAGGTTCTGCAGCTGCGACCCCGGGTCGTCACTCACGCTGCTCCATTTTTACTTTCGGTGGTCTCAGGAAGGTCCGGTTTTTCTTCTCTTTCTTTCCCTTTGTATTTGCTTGGAAGTTTCGCCAGCTGTCCACACGACCATCTCGACTTTCCTAAGCACAGAAGAGGTGTGTGGGAAGGAAACTAGTTAATGAAGGGAGGGCCTGACCCTGCTCTGCCAGCCCCTGCCAGCCCCACCCCCGTCCCCATGCCCCATAGCCTAGCCCGGCCACCTGGAACAACCCAAGAATACAGCAGAGCAGAGCTCTCCCCCCACTTCCCTGGACATCAGAAAGTGTCATAGCACCTCTAGAAGGCAGGGTAAGCCTGTCACAGGTTGGAAGGGAACAAAACGAATGACACTCATCTCAGCAATGAGGCCACCACCTGCTGGGGACCTCTGAGCTAGATATTTAGTATGTGCTGTTTCTAATCCTCAGAAAAAGCCGGCTGTGGTGTGTGTGGTGCCACCGGCATTTCACAAATGACAACACTGAGGCTCAGAGAGCTTAAATCACTTTCTCAAAGCCATACGGCCAGCCAGTACCACAGCCTCTCTTTCCACTGCACCTGCCTTGCTCCCCGCCAAACTTGGAGAGAGGCTCCAAGCCAGCACCAGCTGCGCTGAGAAGGCCACTAGGATCTCTTCCTCTTCATCAAGGGACCTACCCGTTTTCTCTCTTTATTCACACATGCATGGTGCAGAAACAAAGTCAATCCCTACCCTGATACCGAAATGTTACAGAAGACCAAATGTTGCTCAATTTCGACTACTACTAGCTGAGCATCTGAAGGATGTAACTAGGGTGTCAAAGAGAAGTCAAGTCAAAAGCCCTAAGTCTCTCTACAGGCAGGACACCAGGTCTATAAGAACCTCAGTTTCTACTAAAAGACCTCTACCTAGCGCCCCACTCCATGTTTGCCCCCTAAATTCAGTGTGCGAGCCATTTTTCTTAAGCCTCCTTGGCAGCTTGTGCTTACCACAATCTCTCAAACACCATTCAGGGAACCTCACTGCCCTTGCGAAGGCTACAGAGCTTACAGGTGGCTGAGGCAGAACTAGACCCACTCTCGCGCTTCCCCACACATCCCATGCCCCGACTGTCGGCCCCAGGGCAGTCCTGGGGGTGCTCCGGGAACCGACTCTCTACACTGGGGAGTTTCCTTACTCTGAATAAGAATCCCTGGCTGCCTTGGAAATTTACCTCAAAGTTTTTCTGCCACTCCCTTTCCCGTTTGGCTTTTTCTTGAGCTTCAATCTCTTCTTCCCTTTGTCGCTTCCTAGGAGGAAAACCAGACCATAGTATTTATATGATATTTAAGAGATTGTGTTAACTATATAAATTAAGGCAACTCCCCACAGAAGCAAGCATATAAAGGAAATCAATTTCTTAGGGTTCTACAAAGATGGTTATCTGGAAAGGGCTCAAAGTAGCTTCATGAATGTCTCATTCTGAAACATGCAGATGAGTCTGTGGGGCAAGAGATAAATTCCCATTGCACAGATAGACAAGATCATCAAAGCTCAGTCAACCCTAATCGGAGGTTCTGGGTTCAGCCACTGACAAAACTATCTAGAGAACCCAGGCTACCTTACTTCAGTAGAATTACCATTACAGTAACAGAGGTTCTTACTCAAGAGGATCTCTGCACAAAAGCCCATCCCTCAATAAGGACATTTCATACAATCTCAACTAGCAAAACCTAGTTATTGCTAAACACCAATCAGTACCACAAAATACATAAACTAAAATGACTCCAAGATTTCTGATGAGTCAGAGAAACCATAAGGACAATAAACATTGTGTAAGTGACTACACTGTACATCCTCACCAAAGCTGCAGCTGCCAGTCACACAAAAGGTTCTGGGCTCAATAACAATGGCCTTTTTAACTGCCTATTTCACTCCAGGAAATCAGGAAGAAAACACCCAAAACTCTTGACTTTAAACTCCCTAAGGACATGTCTACTTTGTATTTCCCAAAATCACCAGAATTTGTTAACCTGGTGATTCAAAACTTTGACTATTTCAGGTAACTATTTTAGATAATCTCTTAAATGACAAACTACATTATTCCTTCATTAGGAAAATCCCCAAAGAGCAATGTTGGTTTATCTAGGTATTTAGATATGGTTTAAATGAACATATTAATATATACCTTTCATGCATCTCTTTGGCTTCTCTCTCCTTCCTTTTAATTTCCAGCTCAGCAAAGAGTTTCATGGTCTGCTTATACACTGCTTGTTTGAACTACAAAAAAGTTAAGAACAAAAGAAAATAAAATTAAGTATTTTACCGGCTTCTTGAATCAAGTACTTTCAGATGGAGCCCAAGACGAAAGCAGATTAGAACTCAGCAAGAAAAAAGGTTTTTTAAAGAGAACCACTTAATGGTGCACTCTCGGGAGATAAATAACACGTCTGCCTATGAGACATTTCCACCACTTTCACCATTCAGATGATACATAGGAAACTTGCTCTAGTGTAAATCAACAATAAGGAAAAAAACCCTACTTATTCACAACCATTTGAGATTTTGGAGGGCCGTTTCCTTCAAAGACCTTCCAAAAACAGCTTTCATTTTTTCCCCCACAAATATTTCGTAACGACTCTGTGTTAGGCACTGCAGTAGGTACTAGAGATAGGAAGCTGCTATCAAGCAGACCAGTTGTAGGCATCTACTGACTGTGGCAGGTCCCCCACCTCACTGTCTCTTCTCCCTCCATTTAAAATCCCTCACCTTAAGGCACATGGCCACCCCACATAAAAACCTATGCTTCCCATGCTTCCTTGTACAATAGCTAGGTGTGGTCACATAAGTTTTAGCCCATGGGTTATTAAGAAAAGTGATGTAGCAACTTCCTGGATGTTCTTAAAAAGAGTAGGCTTATGCCTTCTTGCCCCTTTCCTCTGTTCTGAACTCTGAGGATGGGAGCAACATCCTTACTGGCAGAATCAGAAGAGACAGTCCTTGGATGACACATGTCCCAGGGCTGCAATACCAACGGCCATCTTCCCAAAGACTTTTATACAGGTGAGAAAACAAATCGCTACCTTGTTCCAACCACCACCATTCCCAGTTTCAGCTGTATGCAGCTGAATTTATATTGTAATACACTGATAGAAACAGTTAACACATTAGATAGGAAACAGACCTTTATCTTTAAAACTTTTTCCCCACATACAAAGTATCTTACATATACAAAGAAATACAGAAAATAACCCCTCTTGCAGATTTCATAGGGCCTATATCCTAAAATCAAGAGACACTGGAGCTGAGTTAATACATGGGAAAAAAAAAGTAAAGGAGCCCCAAGATTTCTCACTTCTTTTAATATTGTTACCTGTCCACAGTGAATGCAGTGCTGACAAACTCCAATCCCTCATTAGGACAAACATCGAGGGATGTTTGTAATATTTTAATACCTTTAAAAGCTCTAAACTCTCCTGGATGAAGTTACTGGTGATTATCAATATTTTATGTTTTTTTCAAATTTTCTGTCATCAGCATTTTTCTATCAGTCTGTTCCTTTATCATCAGGAAAAAAGGCAACTAAAAGGAGTTACGGTTCGTAACAACTTAGAAGAACCAAGGAATATTTGTAAGAGGGTCTTCAGAAAAGACTAGAGAGGATTACTAAAGGAAAGAGAGAATAAGACTGAACAGAAAAAACTAAACTACTGGAACAGAGTAAATCCAAAACAGGTGACTAGTGGAAAATACTGCCTACTGGTTCGCAATGTTACCACATAGCAGATGGGACCAGTCACTGTTAGCAAAATCACTGAAGCAAGAGAAGTTGCAAGAACTTTTCCCTAGCAAGATAGCCTCTCCTCCGTAAATCTTTAAAAACAAGACAGGTATGTGGATAAGTTACATGTTGACCTACACTGAGGCAAGATTAAAATGGCTTTTAAATTTTTCAGGCTAGAGAGGCAAAAAGACACAAATATTTAAGGAGAATCTTTCTTTTAGCCAACCTCCATTAAATAACCCACTGGATTACCCAATGCGCTCCATGTCGCTGTAGATTATCATCTAGAGCACAAGGAGTGCTCTTGGCTAGAGGGCGCCTGTTGAAGAGTCACTTGTGATTGCTCCCAAAGATGTCTATGCCAGTTGCAATTAATACTATACTTGTGTGATTTAAATATCACAGGAAGTAATGAATATGGTTATAAAAATGTTTGTTGTTTCTTTTAAAACTAAGTATCCTGCTTTAGAAAAATTCAATAAACATGAGTCCCTAAAAATAACTGCTATTGAATGAGGTACAAGTGAGACATCTGGAAAAGACGAAAAGAAAAATGTTACATATCCAGAGTTTTGCTCTTGGTTTCTTTCACGAGTACCTAAGTTTTTAATGTACTTCAAAAGAAAGTAAAAATACTAAAAACTATGGATAATGCTTCATGTGTATGTTTCATAAAATAAATTCAACTACAAACTCCAGATAGCTAATCCACACGCAAAGAAAAAGGCCACAGCCCTATGTCAAAACAGAGGTGAATTTTTTTAAAGGGTGTATAAATGTACATTTGATATTTTAAGTTAAAAGAAAATGTTTATAGCAAGTACATATCATTCTTTAGCCTTCCCTCTCTTTAACCCACCAATCAGTGAACCCAAGTACATTGAGATAAGGTGGCTTTTCTCATATTTAACTCACCAGCTCTGGATCATCCTCCTCTACATTTGTTGGCTTTCCTTCCTTCTTTAATTGCTTTTTTCGTTCTTTCACCTAAAAAAAATTTTTTTCATCAAAAGTAAGCACTCATACTTGAATATCCATTAAAACCTGCATACATGATATACGTACTTTTCCATACATGTAAGAATGCATTGAAAAAAGATGAGCCTTCCCATTCCCCTCCAAAACAGCAATGCAATCAAGGACAAGTAGGAACCAGGGGTTCTCTCTCTAACCTCATCTAAAATCCAATCTACCTGAAAGGATGAAAGGGGACTAGCAAGGGAGCTGTCCCCAACTCATTAAATCCTAGGTCAGACTGAAAGAACCTTTGATAAATTCAACACACTACCCACTTATCTTTCACAGTTTGTTGTTATGTGTTTACAGTAAAAAAATATATATATAGTTGTCAGGTTTTAGAAGGCATTACAGAATGTTAAGTATTGTTTTTCTGGCATTTCTGCAACTGTGTTCTTAATCGTTTTCACTGTTAAACCCCTTTGAACCAATAATTTTCACATTGTGTCAATTGGTGTTTTTATCACTTTGGCAACCACTGAGATCCAAAGTAATCAAATATACTCATTCACACAAGAATGACATTATTCCATTAAACAATCATTCAGTGTTATACACCAGCAAAAAGCAACGTACTTCCCAAACTCAGAAAGGCCCTACTGCCACCTTGTGGTCAGAAAGACTGAGGATGGCTCCTTTACAAGCAAAATACAGATGAAGGGCATCTAACACAATGATTCAAGCACAAATTGTTGGGTACTTTCCTGATTTTTACCAGAATTGGGCCTACATATGCCATTTCCAATACATGACCAGCAGAACATAATTATGGTCATCCATCTCCTCTTTTTACTCATTGTCCTCGTCTAAACTTGGAGTCATTATTATTATTGGTTTTATTATTGGTTATATTATATAGAGTTTTGTTTTAGATTCCAAAGCTCTTCAAAGAAAAGATAACATGCATATTCACTCCCAATTGACATGTCTCTTATAAGTGGTCTCATGATTCTTGCTCCAGCAAGTAAAAAATTAAAGCAAAGACTTTTCTCACCCGAAAGCAAGCCACCTTAACGTTTCCCACCATTCAGATTTCAGTAATGCAAAAAAAGTAACACCGGCTCTGACTAAATTTATTTCACGTGAGTCCTTCCTTGTTAATACAGACATGTAACTCCTCCTATTTTTTAAAAAATTTATTCATATCCCCTTGCCAGCCTATCTCAAGCCCATGTTCCAACCCCCGAAAAAGGACAAGCATAAAAAATCAAGGGTCAAGTGTCGCCACAGCTGCTCCACTTTTCCACGCTCGAGATGGAGTAATGTGACATGCGAAGAGAGGACAAGAAAAGCCCTCTCTCCACAACACAGGACTGGTAAGGATAGAGGATGAATCGCTTCTCAGCCTTTTGGCTAAGATCAAGTAAAGGAAGGAGGTTGGAGCAGTGTCCTAGCCATTCCTCATCCTGAGCTCTAGGGGGTGAATTAAAGCTTTAGGCACACACTATTGATGACCACCAAGCAAAGTGGTGGAGACCACAGAAGCAGTCACAATTACGCCAGTAGGCGTTGCTATGTTAACATTAACCCTCCTACAAGGTGCCCAAGGCTTGCTAATACTTCCTGTAAACACAGCAGCACTATAAATACTTACAGTGTGTTCCACGTATTCTTTTCCTGCCTGAATTACATCCAGGGCCCTCTTCTTTTGTTCCTGATCCAGTAGCAACTTGTAAGCTTTGTCCACAGCTAATGCAAAACATTGAAATTAACTGTTTCTGCAAACACCCTCTGCAAGTCTGAACTATACTCAGGCAGTGTAAATGGACTCGTGCCATCTAAAAGCATTCCCTACTTTCTTAAATTATTTACTGTTGTTAAACTAATTAAAAAACATATAACTATAGCAATGACTTTCCTTGAGAGCCTGGGAAAAAAATTAAATATACACTCAAGGCTAAATACACCACATCTAAGTTTAACTCAGCGACAAAACACTGTCAATTATTTTTTTATGTTCACAGAAAAAAAAAATGATCCTATGCAATAACAGTCTTTGTTGGCACATAGAAATTTTAACAAAGTAAACTTAAGGTCTATTTCTTAAACAGCAATATTTTGCTTTGGAATGACAACTGTTCTACTGAAAACCAGCTTCTTCATGACCAGAAGACAAAACTATTACATTCTTTTCTTGCTCCAGGACAAGGAACAGCTTGTCCCTAACAATGACAATATATTATTCAGAAGCAGGTAAATTTACAAATACCTTCAAAAGCCTTTTGTGCTCTGTCAGCATCATCTTGATTTTTGTCAGGATGCACCAAGATGGATAGCTGTAAGAGAAAGGTTAGGTTTGTCAAAAAGGAACATTTATGCTTTGCTTGTACTCTTTAAACTAAAAGTTCTAAGGTACTATGGCAAAAGATGACTGTTAGCCAGAAGCATTTTTCAAAAAATTAGTAATTATCATATAAAAGGCCCAGAAATACTCTTTAACAAAATTGAAGCACCAAAAAGGAAATGCAGCCCTGGCTGGTGTGGCTCAGTGGACTGAGCGCTGGCCTGCGAATCAAAAGATTGCTGGTTCGATTCCCAGTCAGGGCACATGGCTGGATTGCAAGCCAGGTCCCAATAAGGGGTGCGTGAGAGGCAACCACACATTGATATTTCTCTTCCTCTCTTTCTCCCTCCCTTCCCCTCTGTCTAAAAATAAAAAATAAATAAAAAATAAAAAAAGGTAAATGCGCAACTGGGAAACATTTAGGGCTTTAATCACAATGTTGAAGAGTAATGCTACCATTATGAGGGTGTTAGGATCATTTGTGGGAGAGAGCAACACTGAAAACTATCAAGTTCCTCTTAGGTTCCTTACCCTGTGCAGGAAGAAGATAAAACAGGTATGAGACATCATCTCTTTCCTAAAAGAAGTTCTAATATGAAGCTGTGGTTCTCGGTTCTGGCTGTGCTCCAATTCTGTGAAGCTTTTAAAAAATACAGATGTCTACTTTCTACCCTCAGAACTTCTGAATCGGTCCCTGGCATTTGAACTTATTAAACCCCTAATAGACTGGTTATCAGATAATATTCAGGAACTAAGAGTTAATTTTGTTAGATGTGACAAGTAGTTATAAAAAAAAAGTACTTTTTTATTTTGGGGGGATTCATGCTGAAGTATCTACGGGTAAAGTATCATGGTGTCTATAATTTACTTGTCAACAATTCAGCCAAAAATGTATGGTTAATGAAGCAAACTGTTCCAAATACATGGTGAGTATATGGGTGCTGATTGCTCTATTCTTTCTATTTTAAAAATTTTATGTCAAAATAATAAACAAAAATCTCCACAGGTGATTCTTTTAGATAGCCATGGTTAAGAACCATTCCCCTACTGTCACTGACAGATAGAAACCAACTAGTTGGAACAGAGGGGCTGTGTTGACAGAGGACAGCAAGTGAGAATCTAATGCTAAATCCTCCATTATTGGAGAAAGAATCCTGGGGTCTAATTCCAACCGCAATCACCCATTAGCTATGAGACCTTGAGAAACTCACTTAACCTATTTGTCTCATCTTCCTCCTACATTAGGTACTTACATTTCATTGTGTTGTTTTAAGGATGAAACAAAACAATGCAAGTAAAGAACTTAGAATACCAACACTCACTGACAACCATTAGCATATAAAGAGGACATACTACATGTCAAGACCTATTCCTTTTAATTTTTATTTACTGATTTGAGAGAGAGAGACATCTACTTATTTTACTTACTTATGCATTCGCTGGTTGCTTCCTGTATGTGCCCTGACCGGGGATCAAACCCGCAACCTTGGCATATTAGGAATGCCGCTCTAACCAACTGAGCTATCCAGCCAGGGCCCAAAACCTATTCTAAGTGCTTTATACGCATTACCTCATTTAAATCCTCACAGAGGCAGGCACCATTATTATGTGCACTTCACAATTAGGGTAACAGCACAGAAAGGTTAAAAGTAATGTTCCCAAATTCAAACTGCTTTTAAGAGGTACAGCCAAGACTGAAACTCAAGTCATATAGCTCCAGGTCATATTAACTATTACAAATGACTAAATAAGCCCTGGCTGGTGTGGCTCAGTGGACTGAGTGCCACCCTATGAACTGAAAGGTCACCAGTTCCATTCCCAGTCAGGGCATATACCTGGGTTGTGGGCCAGGTCCCAGTTGGGAACGTGCGAGGGGCAACCTATCAATGTATCTCTCACACATTAATGTGTCTCTCCCTCTCTCCCTCCCTTCCCCTCCCTCTAAACACAAATAAAATCTTTAAAAAAATTAAATGACTAAATAAGAACTCTTACTGAGTTCTTTGTATAGCTGTATAAAAGTTGTTTTGACTATGGATTTGAATGCTTGCTCATTAAATTGGGAAAGACTGATACATACATTAGGACACTTGAAATTTTAGGGGAAAAAAAGCTGAATACGTATAAGTGAAGAGTATAACTAAGAAAGAAAAAAAACTATAAAGTTATATAATGGAAAATGATTGAGTAGGCAAAGATAAAAAACATCTTGGCTTAATAGATCCTAAGATGATTATGAGTCAGCAATGTGGGGGCTTTACTCTATTCAAGAAGCAAGTATAACACTGGATATTAACAAGTGTGTCATGCAGGAGCTGAGAATAATATTTGGCAGTGGTCAGGTTCTTTTAAGTACACAGTACATCATGACACATATAAACTAATTACTAAAATTCTGCAGCACACCAAAAAATGTATTTTGCCTATCTGACTGAAAAATTAGGTATAATTTTGATTCATTCACATTGCACAGCTATTGTTGTGTTGGCTGTTGTCATTTTTTTTTTAACAATTTAATGGAAAAGAGATTAGTGCCCATGGCTAAACAGTCATATATTGCATGTTTTAGAAATTCTTGCAGCAACCCTGGCTGGTGTGGCTCAGTGGACTGAGCACTGGCCTGCAAACCAAAGGATCACTGGTTCGATTCCCAGTCAGGGCACATGTGTGGATTGCAGCCCAGGCCCCCAGTAGGAGGCATGTGAGAGGCAACCACACACTGATGTTTCTCTCCCTGTCTTTCTCTCTCCCTTCCCCTGTATCTTAAAAAAAATAATAATAATTCTTGCAGCACATCTGCTGAAATATATAAATAATACAATTTGTAATGACAGGTTACAGGGAGTGCGATTATTCAACTCACAAAAAGAAAGACTGGGAGGTTAGTCTGTCAAAACTGGAAAGATCTTTAAAAAGGATACTATAAAACTTTGCAGCTTGAGTTATTAACATTAAAATGAACAAAAACCAGAGGCTGTGGATCTCCTTTGCTAGAGAATTTCCAGAAATCTCTCCTTATATTAAACCACTTATCTCCTACATAGCCATTTAAGTTTACAAAAAGAGAGAGAGAGAGAGAGGGGAATGAGGTGTTAAAAATAAAGAACTGTTACAAATCATTTAACATGTTCTCTCCTGGAAGCCAGGGGATTTAGGAAGTATGACTCCACATAAGCTCTACTATTCTACCCTGTACTTCTCCCTTTTAATTAAGGGGCTAGAGAGATTCCATTTGGATATAAAATTCATTCTAGTCAGAGGTAAGCTATTTTAAGATTTTATTTCACTATGAGTTTTTTTCTAATAGTTACATAGCCTTAAGTTTTAAAAAAAAGGTTAAATGCTGGCCCAAAAATCATAATGCAAGTCCCAAGAGAATCATCATATGCTTACATTTTCAAAGTGTTCAATTTCCATCCATTACAGGGAAATAGTACCATACCTGCCGAAACCTCTTTTTTATTTCTTCATCTGTCACCTCGGGATCTATCTGAAGAACCTGAAAGAATCAAAATCAAAACTGTAAAAGCAATTTAAAGAATTTGTAAATTCAAGAGGTGCCCAATAATTATACGTATTATAATCAATATCTAGAACAGTACTCAGCATTATAGAACTGCGGCAGGCACACAGTTCTAAAAAATGCCCAGGAAATATAAATGAGCAAATCAAAAATAGAATAACAGCTATACTGTTTCATGTTTGTGATTAATATAGTAGTTACTTTCTCTCTATCAGAAAAATAGTAATTTACCCTATACCCAGAGACATATTTCCAAACTGTGAGAAAAGGTTGCATTTCTCCTTCATTTATTAAGAAAAGTATCTTCCCCATATCCCCCACTTACCTGTGCAAATGTGGAGAAGGCACAGAACACAACAGGGGAAAAAACTGAGGCTGGCTACCTGATTTTCACCTCAGTTGAGAAATACCCACTTGGCTCCACTGTAGGTCTATAATTTACATGGCCCGATAGTTCTCAACCAAGAGTGAACATCAGTCTTCTGTGGAAAACTGAGATCAATGCCTGGGCCCTACCCCACCACCACCCCCGCCCCCCACCCAGGAAAGTCTGATTCCACATAGCAGAAACATCTGTACTTTTTTAGCAACACTGTCTTAAAAAGTAAATTTATTCATTCTTCTCCAAGCTTAGGTATCCTGGTATTGACATTTCTCATCAAGGATTCTAATCCCATCACCACGAATACATGCATTCATTCAAATATTTTATACAGTAGCTACCACATGCTGAATACACTGCTATACACTAGAAATGCAAAGATAAATAGACAAGGGAACATATTTTTTAATTACCATATAATAAGGACTTTTTTAGGAAGAACATAAGATATACAATTGAAGCAGGTAATTTCAGAGTATAGGGACACAACACAGCATCACCTATTATATTTAGTTGATGTTCAAGGCCCTGAAAGGGCAGAGGATGAGAAGAGTCTGCTAGAAATTCAGAAGAACAGGCTGCACTTCAGTAGGTCTGCATCAGAAATCAATATCTTAACAAGACCCGCTGGTGATTTGAATCACATTACAAGTTTGAGAAGCACTGGTAAGAAATGGTGATGGCCCAGACTGGTGTGGCTCAGTGGGCTGGGCACCATCCCACAAAGTAAAAGGTCTCAGGTCAGGGCGCACGCCTGGGTTGCAGGCCAGACCCCCAGTTGGGGGCATACGAGAGGCAACCAATCGATGTTTCTCTCCCTCTTTCTTCCTCCCTTTCCTTCCCTTAAAAAATAAATAAATAAAATCTAAAAAAAGAAAAGAAATGATGATGGGGGTTAGAAATAAGTGCTTTCAAAGTTAGAACTGAGGATCAGTGAATGAGGGGCAGAGGGACAAAAAGGAAAAAAGTGAAAATAAGTCTTGATATGAAAAATACATACCAGAAAGATTAAAACTGAAAAGTAATCCGCTAAGCTTAGTCAGATGCTTAAAGGGTCTTAGAAAAACCTGTCAACAAGTAATATCAAGATTTATAACAAGCTTTCGAAACATTCAAACAGCCCACCAACAGCAGTAGAGTTCTGGGTAGGCAATGAGGCAGAATCACCATAGCATTCAATACACTTTTGAAGGTTACGACAAGCGCACGCCCATTCTCAAATGGCAGGCATACAATCAGCAGTGAGGGAAAAAGAACTTTAAAACAAAGAATTTTCAAGAGTCAGTGCTCCTCTTCATAGCTTCCCAAGGGAGACAGGAATTGGTAAAAGTCACTCAAGAGGAAGAATACAGACATACAAGATTCACAGATGAAGGGAGATAACTGTGTGTACACAAATTTTCAGAGGAAAACTTTACCTTGTTTCTGGGGAAAAGGAATGTATTAGAGCAAACCAAAGTCCAACAAACCCCAAAAGGTGTCCAAAATGAATGAGAAAGGATGGTAAACATTCCATTTAAAAAGAAAAAAAAATTTTTTTTAAAGCCTCCATCTCTGACTAGTGTGTCTCAGTCGGTTGGGTTTCATCCAGCAAAACAAAAGGTCATATAATTTGATTCTTGGTCAGGCACATGCCTGGGTTGCAGGTTTGGTCCTCGGTTGGGGTGCGTACAAGAGGCAACTTGATCAATGTTTCTCCCCTTCTCTTTCTCCCTCCCTTCCCCTTTCTCTATAAATAAATAAATAAATAAGATCTTTTAAAAAAAAAAAAGCCTCCAATAAAACTAGCCAATAACTAATCATGCCAAATATAATTCATAAACCTTGACTGGTTCCTAAAGTTTAAAAAAATTTGCTGTAACTGAGATTTCTTTTTTGGGGGGTGTCAGAGCCATTTGCATGCGCTCTATGGTGGATAAGGTTATTGAATTAATGTTGTTTTTTCTAGATATGGTAATGGTTTGTGGTTATGTGGAAATGTGTCCTCCTTTTGAAAAGATGAACGCTCAAGTATTACACATAAAGCATCACAATGTCTGCAGCTTACTTTTAGATGATTTGACAAAAAGGAAAAGGGTATATATACTTAATTAGAATACACACACATAATATACCCCAAAAGGTATTTCTCCAAGAGTAAAGTCACATGTGCACTGATCACTGGCAATAAATATTCACTGAGTGCCTTCTAAGCTAATCCAACTAACTTTCCTATCTTTAAGAGCTGGAGGGAGCCACAAAACAGTGAAGACAACGGACCTACACCTACGGCCCAAACCTCTTTGAAGCCAGATTTATACATTCAATACGGACTTTTAGGGGACACAGGATTGCTAGATACTGTGCTCACAACTGTTTTCACAGAATTTAAGGTCTAGCAGTGTGGAAATCAACAACTAACAAGTAACTCTTACAAAACTGATAAATGCCGGGGAGTATTTGAGATCTTGTTCCCCAGCATGTTATCAGTCTGGCTAAATAAACTCTTATAAAAGTTCAAAAAACAACGCTAAAAATAAACGCCACATTACTAATATCGCTCTAAGGAAGTACGCAGGATGTTTAGATTCTTAGATTTTTCTAAACTGCTGTGTCTCAGGCTTTGGGACTACTGCAATGAAAGACCCAAAGTCTTGGAACACAAAGAGTGAAATTAATCATCACCTAGCAGCAAACATGCTTGACCATGGCATTTATGTAAGTTTTATTTCAAATAGTATAGTTCAAATAAACTATAATAGTCTCGTTCTTTGGGGCCTTCAACTTAAAAGAGGAATCCAGTCTTAACATCACACCTGAATTTTCTGACATGTTAATAATGTTCACGTTCCAGAGTCCTTTAAAATAAATACCTTATTTTCCAAGGTGCTGAACAAGTTAAACAGAAAATAAAGTCTATGGTATACTGCCTGCTGGGGCCTTAAATTAATACAAAAAAAGGGACACGAAAAGGGCAGGAATGAACAGGGGCACAGGTTCATCAAAGCTTACAGAGGAATGAGGGGAGGCCCTTAACCTAACAGTAACTGGAAAATGCATAAGGAAGATGATTACATAATGGCTGAAGATTAGAAATGTGTCCAAATAAACAGCTGTTGAGATGGCAGGCAGGGGGAAAAAAAATGCTCCCTGGAAAATGATTCCTGTAATAGAACCCCTCCGATTCCCAGACTAAGTTCTCCCTTTTCTACCTGCTGCTCAGTAAGGTGGTGTATAGGAAGACTATTCATATTTCAAGTGATAGCTGAGATGACAGCTATTACTGCATTACTTCTCCTTACTAGAAAAAGACCAGTAAGCTTACCTTTGTAGAAAAGTATGATTCATTTAGGTGCCTCAACAGTCATTGCATGAAAAACACACGTCACTGATTTCCTAAATCAGTAGAACACCTAACTCTAACTTAGAATCGAAAAGCAACTTTTATTTCGCCCATCCTATAGAGTGGCCAGCACATTTATATGAAATGAAAGAAGAAAACAGAAGCTCTAATGGAGTCCTGTCCACTCAAACAATCTCACACCTTCCTGAATTTGCCCAAATCTTTACGCATCCAAACACAATTCCTATAGTCAGACAGGAATTATGGGGTAGTGAGTTCCACTTGCAGAATCACGTTAACTAATAGGGCATCAATATTCTAGCCTTCATACTGGTCCCAATGATACGTCACTTCTCATCAATCAGATCTCCACAGAACCATTAATAATTTACCCTAACAAATAAAATAGCTAATTTGTATGATTGCTTGTCCCCTTTTCATTGTACTGTGCTCAATTAAAAAAAAAAAAGTAGGACTTAACAGAAAGAACATACCATCAAATTCTTTATTAGCTCTCAAACAAATTATCTCCCCCTATGCCTTCCTCACCAAAATCATATCAAAAGTACTCCTTTAAGCTTTCGGTCTTTCCCTTCCCTTTCTGAGCAATGCAATCCAAATACATTATATGGCACCAGCCAGAATACACATCTGCTCTACATGGGGAGTCAAGATGGCCCAGAACAGAATGTCAAAGCCCATCTAAAATAAAGGCGACAGTGACCACACAAGGTAGCCAGTCGCACAGTGCTAGAGCCCAAACCGAGTGAGAAGAGCATAGAGGGGCAGCCCAACATGGAATGCCAAAGCGGGCTGATGAGGGCATCCTAACACAGGGTGTTACACAGGAGGCCTGGCATAGGGTGCTAGAACCTAAGCAGGGTGAGACTGTCAATGTGTGAGGGTAACCCAGTGCAGGGCTGGAGAGACCAAGAGGAAAGAGGAAGGCATCTCCACTGAAGTAGAGCCTCGACATAGGGTGCTGGAGACCAAGCAGGGTAAGGGGAGTGTCCACAAGGAAAGGTAGCCTGGCACAGGGTAAATGAGTCCAAGCAAGGCCATCCCCAAAAGGAGTGGCCCCACATAAGGTGTGGAAGCTTGGCTTGTCCATGGTAAGGGGGGTGCCCATGCAGGCAGGCATCCAATGTAAAAGGGCAGCCCAATGCAAGATGCTGGAGCTCTAGCAAGGTGTAGAGAGATTTTATGTAAAGTATGGTTGGCACGGAGAGTTGGAACCTGAACAAAGAGAAGAAGGCCTCCATGCAGAAGAGT